TTAGCTTAAATCTAAGACATAAAACAGCACAAATTATAATTTAAATAGTTCAACTCCTTTTTTGTACAGATTTATGCTATTTCTAACTTCATTTTTATGTTTAATTTGCTTTCAAAGTGCTGTATATTTTTACAATCAGGATTTATGTTTATGTATTTAGCAGACGCTTTTGTCCAAAGCGACTTACAAGTGATAATCGGCATGTTGCCCTTGAAGCTAAGAATAACAACAACAACAACAACCAATTTCCAGTCAGTCGTAGGTGGCAGTGAGGCAGCATGATGAATCGTGGAGAGGAGGGAACAAGGATGAGGACAGTAGAGAGGGGAGACGGGTGCAGGGAGGGTGTTAGTTTAGAAGATGCTCCTGAAGAGCAGGGTCTTCAGGAGGTTTTGAAAGTCAAGAAGGAAGGCCCTGTTCTGGTAGTGCTTGGTATGATCATTCCACATTTGTGGAACGATGCATGAGAAGAGTCTGGATTGTCCTGAGAGTGGTGTAGGCACTGCTAGCCGACGATCCTGTGATGACCGGAAGCGGCCGGGCCGAGACGTAAGCCTTTGCTAGAGGATTCAGGTAGATGGGAGCCGTACCATCTCGGACTTTGTATGCTAGTGTTAGCAATTTGAATTTGATGCGTGCTGCTAGCGGTAGCCAGTGAGCTCAATGAACAGAGGGGTGACGTGTGCTCTTTTTGGCTGATTGAAGACCAGACGCGCCGCTACAGGCTGGAAGACCAGTTAGAAGGGCATTGCAGTAATCGAGGCGAGAGACGACAGTACACTTGGATGGATAGATGGTTTTGCTGGGATGACAAGTAGTTCAGTTTTAGAGAGGTTGAATATATATATAAATATCGCTATCTTACCACAAAAATGGCTCCTAAAACACCAAAATGGTGCCAGCTGCACTTCTAACACAAATGAATAAATGCCATCACGGCGATGGTAAAATGTCCCGAATTGCTTTTTTCATCCTTCAGTATTGTGATAAGTTTGTGTTATGATGCTGAATTTGATATTTACAAGCCGTGTGTTAATTTTATAGTGAATTCTCGTGCAAACATTTACCACATTTCGAATGAGGACACGTTTCAAGACACATTTTGAGTATTCTTTGATTTTAGACAGCCTTGTCGATTCGCTGCGACGTGATCGGCCTTAGAAAGCACACTCAGGAAGACGCAGCCCCTGGATTTAGACATAGCTGATGTGTCTTGGGAGCATCTGGCCCAAGTTTTCCAATCCAGGCCTAAAAACATTTAAAATTTCGCTTTTGGTATCACAATACATCGTATCGCCTCCCCTGTACCATGATTACAATTGCATCACCACATTCTTACCACTTGTCTGCTTTCACGTCATCCACAAGGATCCCTATCATCACAATAACTCAATAATGTGCAAAACTAAACAAACCCCTTATCATCTTGCTAAGTTGATTAAGGACAAGGTGCATGAAGAATGCAACGGACACGCTGACCAGAGCCTATCCCTTCTTTCTAGAAGTCATGAGCCATCTGGAAGATAGTATGAATGCCCGGAAATCTTCCTTTAGCGCTGTGCTTCAGCAGCAAAAGAAGATTCCTGGACTGGGAATGGCGGAAGCTGGATGAAGGGGGGGTACAGAGCCACACACCTGCCAGATGATTTGTCATTATAGAGGGGTCAGCCCTCAGCTGTCACCCCCTAATCACCCGTCCTACCCCTTAAGTCCCCCCCCCCTCCTTCACCCTTTAAACCCCGGTCCCCCCCCCCCCCCCCCCCCCCCCGCATTCCTCAGGCGGCTCCGGTTTCACTCGCAGCGCTGCCACTCCATCTGCCCCTCCTTCCTACACTCTACCCTGGGAGAAAATGTACCCCTGTGAGACACAGCACACTGAGTTCACTGTTTGGATGTGTGATGTGTGCTTATGCCCCCCCCCCCCAATCATCAATTCATGTGTTTATCCAAGGGCAGAGCTGTTTGTAGCGATACCAGAGAGAAAACCTGAATCGGTCCAGGCTGCGATCCAAAAAACAAAACCCCCCGCAGACAAACCAAACACGGAAAACTCTCACAGGTATACCATATCTGTCAATAGCACTCTTTCACCACCACAGGTCAAAGGTCACACTCTTTTCCACTGAAAGCTGCTTCCTCTGGGACACACAAGTGTGTTAGGTAGATCCTCAGCCGTCAGTCTACCCACCGCCCAGCAGATTATCCTAAGTTGTAGTCTGAGTGAGCCTGAGAGGGGGCTCAGCGTGGTTACATCATATCCTCAGAAGCCTACAGAACCCCCTCGTCCATTATCGTGGAGGGAGGCGAGCGCTGCTAACACATTTCCTACTTAAGAAGAAAACATGTTTAGAGTGTTAACAGAAGTGAGAGGTGACGCTTGACATCAACACCCACAGAAACACCTTCTGACTGTCCTCAAGAAGGCAGCGAGCGTGCTGGCATCAGTGATGAAGACGCATGCCTGTATTGTGTGTATGAAAGGCAGGACGGCAGATGCGACTCCGATAAAGGTGTTTTGTTTCCTCCAGGCCTCAAAGCATCACCTGTCATCGCTTGTTTGGAGCTTTTGTCTCTTTGCCGTGCAAATCTCTCGTCTAGCCTGATGGGGGCAGTAGAGGCTGGTTGACTGGCAAGGCAGCTGATCACAGCAGCCTACAGGCATCACACAACCAACCCTCTAACCACCTGACATACAGAGCATCCTTCTTTCATCTGCTGAGCTGCCACTTGATCACTCAGCCTCCTGGAAATGTTAGGAGGAGGAGGAGGAGGGAGGATAATGACATGACATCAGTGTCTTCTTCGTTCACCAAATGGGGCCGTACACAATAGGAGGACATATGCTGTCCAGTGAATGGCTGCTAA